GGGGATGGAAACGCTAGCAAAATCTATTTGATAATATTCAGATATAGATGAGGAGCCCCATCTACTGGCCAACAGGAAGTAACGCTGCGTGGCAATTTTGATCTGATTTACGTGACCTTTTCATCGCTGTTTTCTGGCATGCTGTTACGACGGGCACCGTGACACGGCGCCAGCAACACCCCAAGTTGCGGGGTGGAGTGCGAGGGCCCTTTCCTTGGCAGCTTTAATGATTGAAGTTGATTCTATAAATACAAAATGAAAATATGTAAACAATAAAAGAAACATGATTATATGATTATAACTGATCATTTGATAATTCATTAGGTGTGAATTTATAACACTAAGTTAGAACTATGGTAAGTAAGGTCAAAAGGGAGAATCATTATTGAAACACTGGGTAACAAGCGAGAAGGCACGTACTAGAGGAGAAAATATGCTGAAATACTGAGTAACGCTGATAAGAAGGACATATTAGAAGAGCACATCATGGAAGCACGTTAGTAGCGCAACCAGACATGTCTGGTGTGAAGAGAAAGGAAAGTTGAGCGGCAACACACAGGGACACATCTTGTGAGGAGGCAAAGAGCAAGCAGAGGAAGTAACACGAACCAAACACCCTAGGAGGACAAGGGGAATAAAAGGCGTTACACAAGGAGGATATGGGATAGTCCTCGGCCGGCTCTTTGGTTCAATACTTGCTGATCGATCAACCACATCGGAGCAACGCATCTTTGAACTTGAACACTCTTTTGTTCACCCTCCCATCAGAGACTGCACTGGTCAGAGACAGCATTTTCACCACGGTTTGAAATTTAATCATTCTTTTTAACATCAGATATTATGTAGTTAATCTTTATCAGTGAATATGAATAATCAATTTTCAATCAATTAAAGCTGTGTGCTAGCCCTTGCTAAATCTTGCAATAAAATATAACAACTGCAGTTAAAGAATAAATTGTGGACATTGGATTTATGTTATCTCAACAGGCAATAATTATTAGGTAGTGTGTTTAACATCGTGACGGTTCTAACAGAAAAATAAAACAGACCCTTGGAGCTCACTGTACAAGCCACTAAAAGTAATCCTACTACCAAGTGCACAGATCAATAAGAGGAGATCTGCTGTGAACAGATGTAGCTAGTGTGGTATTTGACTCTAGGGCTATTCAGTCAGGTGCTGCACTAGAGTGAGCAGGGTAGGTGTCCGGATGAAGGCAGTTAGAAGCCAGGCGTGTCTCCTTGAATAGTCCTCTGCTGGGACCTGGCAGAGTAATACCCACAGGCTAGAGGATCGGACCCTTTAAACGGAGAGCTGGTCCAGTACCACCTATACGGGGGTAACTCGGGATCTAACACGTCTCTCATGGCTCCCAGGGGAAACACAGCGGCAACAAGTGGAGAGAAACTGAGAGTAATTTAGAGTAACAGACTAACTGAAATAAAGAAACAATGGTTGTTGTGCTGTTGAAATCTACACTGTTTGTCATTATACATAAAGTTAGTATCATAACTAACATATCCACTCCGTAACGTCAGCGTGCAGGCGGGCTAAGGTTAGCAGGTCAGCCACTAACATTATCCAGGACAGGCTGCCCCACAATGCCAGCTGGGAAAGTAACCTGCAGACGGCACGCCAGACAATCTACCACCAATGCCATTTGAGGTTACTTCGTGGCTACAAAAAATGCTAGTGGTTGGGTTGGCTAACCTTAGCTCTCCTGCATATCAAAATACTACATGAGTGGATGTGTTAGTTGGCAGGAGCGGCTCTTGTGGCGCAGGAACATTACAGATATAGTGAGGCACTCTAAATATGATTGTAATGTATTTTAGAGCATTTATGGTCAATTCCAGCATTTAGTGTTTGTTATGTTACTGTTTTGGCCGATGTCTACGATGGTGTGAGCGCTGCAGTTAACTTAACAAGGCTAGCTGCCGCAGGAACCGCATTTCTGCCACCAGTTAGGCTCCGCCCACAAAATATATCATTACTTGTTTGTTTTGTTTCTTCTCGTCGTCTGGCTGTTAAAGATCTCTTTACATGCTGACTTTGTTGAAGAACTCTGTTGATGTTGTAGTGATGTCATTAGGGTTATCTAGGCTTAACATTTTGTAAAAAGCCTTCGTTATCTACCAGATGTGAGAAGTTTAAAAGAAGTGGGCTTTCAACAGGCATCGGTGGTGTAAGTTGTTAAAACACAGCCAGAAAAAAGAGCCACAGTTTCCCAGAGACAGAAGTGTGTGACAAAAAAAATAAAACTTACTCAGCTTAAATTTGTATAAAAACATAATATGAACACTGTCCTCTCTGTAGATAATGTAAATTAGGGTTACTGTTTATTTGTTGGGACTCTTCTTCCGGTTGTCTGGCTGTTAAAGATCTCTTTACATGCTGACTTTGTACTTTTTTCAACAATGGAGACCCTGTTAGTCGACTCTGTCTCAGTCCTTTATCTTTCTCTGTAGGTCGGAGTCCTCATTCCCAATTATGTCAGACATTGGATTTATTCAGCGCATCCACGACCGTCCCCAACCCCCAGCACCGATATTAGGTGAGATCAGTTGACAGAATCCTCCCAGTCATAGTTTGATGTATCTAAGATTAACGACAGAAAAGAGGCTCTAAGTGTCTGTGCTTTCATCTAAATGTATTCTTTCTTCTTGCAGCATGTTCAAAGTTGTTTTTGTGCATCATGCCCATCGCTCAGATTGCAATTGGTGAGTGAACGACGACATTTACCGACATTAAATTCATGTTTGAATTCAATTTTAAAACAACAGTTTCACTAAATAATTGTTATGATGGAAAGTCAGAATCTCTCTGTGCTTGTTGCCCCCCTCTGTATGTCCCCAACAGGTGTAATACATCTGGATGACTGTCCGCGGCAGCACTACATCCCCATCTATTTGATAGTGGTGGGAGTCTTCGGCCTGGTGCTGGCACTGCTCTCCTGTCTGCCTTGCGGCGAAGAGCTCACCGGAGTCTGCATCACCTGGAACTCGCTGACGTCTCTCTTCCTCTTCTGCTGGTTTATTGCCGGTGAGTCAAAACAGCGATAGGCTGATAAGTGAGGCCAAAAAGTGACATTTAGCTTATTTGACCAAGGGAAGCGCATTCTGTTTGTTTTCTGGTTGGTAGTTCTTTGTTGAAGTTAAGAGTAATTCTCTCATCAATTCTCATTGATGCCATACAGTTCACCAGGACCACAGAGCACAGCCTCCATTAGTTTTAGGTTAGGTTTACCCGATAAACTGGCAACTGAGTGCATAAAACTTTAAAATTGAGACGGATTCAGCAACTGTACAACACTTTTCAAACAAATGTTTTTACAAACACATTTTGGTGAACTGAGATAAAGTTTCCAAAACAAGCCACCATGTTGGCCCTTTTTCAAATTCTGGAGCAGAAAGAGTCCAGTCAGGTTATAGGAGGGTGTAGCCTTTTGGGACTACAAGGTATAAAGACGTATAAAGATCTGTACTTGTCTCTTACCTTGGGGTTTTCTTTAAATGTTCAGGTAACGTGTGGATCTACTCCTAACTTTATTACAGAGCCAAACTAACAACCAAGAACACACAGATGTGGATCCCTACTGCGACAAGACACTGTACCTGTTTGCCTTCTGGACCACCACCTTGGGCTACATCCTCCTGGGTCTGTTCCTGGTAGGCGGCTGCTGCTTCTGGCTGTGCGGCCGAGACGCCTAGAGACGAAACAAAACCAAAGAGGAGGGGAGGCGTCCTGCAGGGCTACACACAACGCTGTTAGTTTGTCTGTTGTCCATGTCAGGGACCGAGCTGGCTGACATGAGGAGTCAAGGTTAAATTTTCACAAAAAATAATTTTATTCACAAAGAAAATAATCAATTTACAAAATATACAAAATGTTCTGGGCCCATAAAAGAGGTCAACTAAACAGAACTTAACTCAGGCTACATTAACTGAACAAATTGAACATACTAAACCAACCAACCAAACCGACCAAATTAAACTCAGATACAAACTCAAATAAGGAGAAACCACTGCCTCTCCCCATGATTTCAGCCAACATGGTGTAGCTCAATTATCAGCACAACCCCTTTTGAGCGTTTCTGATTCAGCCGGCCCTTCCTTTGTCGGCCATGAGACACCTTCAGCGGCAGAACCCAGACACTGGTAACTCAAAGAAAACTGAATTGATGGAATGAAAAATAACTTAAATTAATTCACCTAATAATACTACCAAAAATTGACAAAGAAAGTTAACCAATTGTGTGCACCCCAAAAAGATAACGGCTGTCAAAAATGGATAATAAAACTGTGTATTATGAATCCAAAATCTGTGTCCAGTTATTTATTGTGAATTGTGTCTAATGTTCTAAACCTAAATATAACTAAACCTAAAGATAGTCAAACAAAGGTTATCACCATGTGCTTTTGCCTCAGTGTGACTGTGATCAGTCTGTAGAGTGAACTCCCTCCTCAGAAGGTAGTATTTGAATGAGTCGAGAGCCCACTTGATCGCCAGGGCTTCCTTCTCCACAGTATAGTAGTCTTCTGGCACTGAGGATAAGTCCTACAGAACTGGGCAACATCTGCCCACAAACCAGGCCAGTGAAAGTGTTGTCTAATCTGAGCCAGGGTCTTTTGCTTCCCTATGTGGCCAGCCCAGTGAACAGAGTGGCCCAAGTGCTGTGTCTCGGGCTGCTTTGGGAACCCCTAACTGCTTCACTGGTCCATGTTGATGGTAGAGAATACCCTTCTGCAGGAAATACTCCTCTTCAGAATTGTACTCCAACTCACTCTCCATCTCTCTCTCTTTAGCACTCCTTAATAGAGCTACTAAACTGGGGTCATCTTGTTGCATCTGAACTATGTCTGAAGGCAAATCAGGTCTAAAACCTGGCAAATCTGGA